AAAAATCAATAAAAATTGCCAAACCAGCAGAATAAATGCCAGTTTCTTTTATTTCATGATTTTGACGATCGTCCAATTTCACCACGCTGCCTCACATATAACATTAATGCTTCTTTCAATACAGTACGGCCATTTCCTATTAATAGACAAATTTTCTTTGTCTTGAGAGTCGTGGGTCAAGGCTGAAAGTGTGAATATACCACAGAGGATCGTAGTAGTCCTTGCTCAGTGACATTTTAGGCTCTACGCATCAGCTTGATCAATCTCAAGGCAGAAACACAGACACAAAAAAAGTTTCAAAGCATTTTGGTTTGAAATAAAAGATGGTAACTTAAAAATATAAAGTAACAAACAAAACTGTATGACTTCTAGACATTTTTTTTTCTCCAGCTAGCAAAGAATAAAACAATCTGACACCCCATGGAGACAAAACTATGAACTGGTCTGACACCCTCAGCTTAGATAATTCACTCACTTGATTCCGTTTCGTGACCACGTTCTCGAAAAGTTTTTTGTCGATGACTGCGTCATTTCGCTTCTGTTCCATCTGCAAACCAAAGAGTGTGCGAGTCTCGAACTCTGGAGGCTCATAGCTCGGGTCCATCTGGGAAATACAGACCAAGACAGTGGGTCAGGTAGGTACGGTGGGATGAAATGGATACAAGTAGCAAATCTCCTAAAAAATAAATATTGAACTTCATAGTATCAGAAACTGTGAGCATTTCCAAGCACTTCCCTTTTCTAAAAACCTACGGGCATGTGGAAGGCATTATGTACAGTAGAAACAGTCTTAGGCGGCCACCCATTGTCAAAATGAAAAGGGGCTGTCTTACACAGAGTTATTTATGATGTAAAAATATACGCAAGGGATACAATGGGAAGTGGCAGTTTGTTCAGGAGACTGTCGCATACAGGCGGCCATCAGAGCAGGTTCCACGGTATATGGACGAGATGATTTGGAATGATTTCAGGAGACTTTGTCTGGTCACCTACACACCATCAAGCATGCCGACATATAGCATTTATCTGACCCCCTAGAATCTCCGAGGCCTTCCAGCTTCTTGATGCCTTTTTTAATATGTTTTTTAAAGTTTAGTACAGGGTTTTACGCCGCTCGCAACTGCATAAGGTCATACGAGCGCTTTAACATGTTTTCAGTTTGTGAAGTTTACAGGAAACACAACACTCTTGCATTAAGACAGACAGCAGCTCGAAAATTTGACTACTCGCCATGCAAAGCAGACTTAACCAGAGTCACCTATTTCACTTGTGACAATGACAATATAGAAACAAATAATTAACCCCACGTGAAATCATACACTTCACTTCCACAGGCAGTAGACAAATAATTTGCAGGGGGCTCTCGTG